TCCCCAGCAGCGAATCCCTGGATTAAAGTCTTTGAAGTAATAGATATTGTCAGGAGTGTCCACAGAGTGTGGTTAAAAGAAAAAGTCAAAATGGCGGCCATAATGGCACCATTGAAACTCTGCCTGTTTTGTTATTTATGTCACACATAATAGACAGAGCTTTGATTGCACCATTGTAATCAATCATCTTAATTTTTTTAACCATACCCCGAGGACATTCCTTGATACAGTAAGCCAGATGTTAGATTTGACTAGAAGTAAATATTTTTTAAAAACTGAAAAGTAATCTTTGATCCATACATAACAATCCTCTAACTAAACACTGTAACTCTGTGTGGTATCTGGCAGCCCAATGCTCAGTTTCAGATGCCTGTAATTAAGGGAAAGGAAGTCCCTGAATCACAACCCCAGATGAGATCATGTCCCACTAGTGCTGTGGTGTGAGTGAGCCAAAGATGAAATGCCTCCTTCCTCCTGTGAGAAGCCCCAGCACTAAACCTGAATGTTTGCTTTAAACTCTTTCAGCCCTCTTCATTTCAGAGAACTCCCAGATAGAAAAGAGAACTATTAAAAAGTAAAAACAACAACCAGAATTTTTTTTTTGCAGATGAGAAGGAATTTGGGTTTTTTTTTAAAAAGCAAACCAGCCTACTTGGAAGATAGAGATGAGGCATTACACTCTGGACATTGTCTTTAGAAAACAGAAAGTTTGTACCTGGATCTCTACAGTTGATATGCTAATCAGGATCTCCCAAATCAGGATATTCAGTAATTAAAATTAAAATAGCTGGCCTTGGTTGCTAAAGCTAAAGAATGTTAAGCTGGCAAGTAAACTGGATGGGAGACAAATTGTAGAACTAAGACTAGACTTCCCTATTTGGGGGGGGGGTGTTTCTGGAAGGAGGCAACTGTAAATCACTCCCATATAATCACCAACATGGAATAAATTATAGATATTTATAATGATAGGATTTCCTTAATATTTTTGGCATTTCATGCTTAAACTTTCAAACATGTGGGAGTCATATTTTGGTTGAAAAAAGTTGTCCCTGAAATAAATGAGATTTTCTGGGAGTAACATACAATTCCGTGCAGAGATTTTAGTTAGTCTGCTTTAAGGTGCAGAAAATCCTGAATAAACATGCTAAAGGAAGAGCAAATGGAAGAATTTGAATTTAATGCCTTTTTAGTTCCGCTGCTTTCAGTGGAAATAAACTCAACTAAATGGGTGAGCCTCAACATTTTTTTTCTGCTAAGAAATCCCCCAAAGTCTAATAGACTAATAGAGGAGTTAATCAAGGAGACTGAAGACAATTGCTTTTTGTTTTGCTTAAATTGATTTACACAAAATAAAATGTTCCACAGCACGTGGCAGCAATGGCCATTCTGGGCATGTTTTGGACACCCAGGAAGTGGTTTCATGAAAACGGTACCCAAATTCCAAATTTCCATGGAGAAGGTAATCTATAAAGCCACAAAGCAGCTAGAGATTGCAGGGTTGACTATTACCATCAAGGATTTTTTAGTTATTATTTCATGCAAAATTCAAAGTACGGATGCATCAGGCAATAAAGTCCCTCCCCTTGGCAACACTGACTGTAGGGCTGAAGGCAAGGGTCAGGACGAACTGCCCTTTCCTAAATCTTAGTTTGTGGCATGTGATGGTTGTGAAGATCCCAGCAGAGCATCCATTACTATCCAATTGACATGCTGGGTGACCAGAGCAAGTATAGGAGCACTTCAAAATGACCAGATCCCTGCTCTGCCTTCTGCCACCACTGCAAGACATAGTTGCAAGGATGGGATATGAGAACTTCAACCATCTTTCAATGCCAGGGGTATTCAAGTAGCTGTTCAGGCTTTTTCTAGGTATCTTTTCCTTTTATGGAAACACCAGGTACTATAGTGGTGAGGCAGCTCTTTTCCTTGAAGTGGTTCAAAAAGGCATCCGATGGCATACAGCAGGTGGTTCAAAAGGATGAGATGTAACATGTGCTGTCATGCAGGTGATTATTTTGGATAACCAGCCAATCAGCTGGTGGGAAAAGCTGGAGTTTGGGGGCTTCTCCATCTGATACCCCTAACTATCGGAACCCCATTCTTAATAGGGTAAAAGAGTTCTTTGTGCCATCTATTTTCTCCACAACAATAACCTTGTAAGGTGAGTTTGCTGAGAAAAAGCAATCCACTTGGGGTTCTATGCCTAAAGAGAACTAAAACTCATGAACTACCAGTTTCTAGCCCATCACATTGTAAATAACAAATTTCAATCCTTCATCTCAGGTATTTAGTCCAGTCAAGGAGGAGAATGTAAGCAGAGGTGGGACAACCGATTAACAATCGGTTTGCTGAGGGTGCACTTCACACATGAGCACACACCAAAGGTGGGTTGCTGCTCGTTTGACCCAGATCGGCCAAACTGGTAGTAGCGGCAGCAGGTGACTCCTCCCACCCGCCCAGACACTTCTGCGCATGCCCGAACCGGTAGTAACAAAATTGGCAACCCACCACTGGTGCACGTGCATACACAGTTTACGGAAACTCACCTTCCGCATTACTGCTAGCGAGGAATACAGCTGAGGCATGGCAATCCACTGACGCGCCAATCAGCTGGGCTTCAGGAAGGGAAATATAGGTGAGTATAGTGCAGGGGTGGGCAGGCGGGCCCACTTCAAAGTCAGAGCGAACCAGTTCGCTCCCAGCTGATAGTCGGAGCTACCAGTTCACCCGAACCGGTCCGAACTGGTAGAATCCCACCCCTGAAAATGTAAGAGTACTTCTCATCTCTCCTTCAAAGAGCCATGGTGGCGCAGTAGTTAGAATGCAGTATTGCAGACTGACTCTGCTCACTGGCAGATGCTCAATCCTCACTGGCTCAAGGTTGACTCAACTTTCCATCCTTCCAAGTTCAGTAAAAGGTGGACAGATTGTTGCTGACTGTAAACTGATTAGAGAGGGCTGTAAAGCACTATGAAGTAGTATATAAGTTTAATTGCTATTGCTACTCATTACGGAATGTTGGTAGTAGGCTGAAAATGAAGGGAAGCTGCTGTTGTAGACACCGACACATCCAATGATGAAGCAGTCAAACATACTGTATTTTTCAGAATATAAGACGCACCAAGGTTTTGAAGAGGTAAACAAAAAAAAAGGTTTTGCACGCTGCAGACCCCCCAAACTCTCTGCATGCCTCATTTTTATGAAAAACAGGGCATGCAGAGAGTTTGAGAGGCCTGCAAAGTGCTCCTGGGAACTGGGGGCAGGGCAAAAACAAGGAAAAATGGTCTGGTTTTCACAAAAGCAGTCCCTTTTTTTGCCAAAAAGGGGCATGCATAGCCTTTAAGAGACTTGTAGAGAAAAATGGCCCATTTTCCACTCGTTTTTGCCCTCCCCAACCCCCAGGAGATTTTGCGGGCCTCCCAAAACCTCTGCATGTCCATTTTTGTGAAGGGGCAGCATTTCAGGAGGCAAAAAATGCTATATTCAGTGTATAAGACGCACCCAGATTTTCACCCTCTTTTTGGGGGGGAAAGGTGAGTCTTATACTCTGAAAAATAGGTGTTGCTTCATGTTGCTAGATGTTGTTCATTTAAAAAAAAATAATGTATCCATGAATTGTATGCTAGGGAGCTGACTGTCTGGGCATGAAAATCTCAATGGACGCTTTGTGGTCAGAGACAGTGAATCCAGTGTATAAATAGCAACCTGTCAGACTCAGTTGGCTGCATTGCCCAGAAATTAAATCTGATTGTGGAGGATGATCTTAATCTGGGGGGACCTGCAAATTATAGATTCCACATATAGGTTGCCACATGTTGTAAGATTGCTAGTAGTTTCTCCCAAAGTGTGAAGTTGAAGTGGATCTGGACCAGTGCCATCCATCCATCTTGATCCCCCATCAGGGACAACAGATAGCCATGTGAATGTTGGTCTTTTTGACTGTAGGGAATGGAAATTCACGGCCAAGGGAGTTTCTGCAGTTAAGATGTTTATTATGGTGAACTCTTCTGGTTCAGAGACAGCCTTGCAGAGCCCAGTTCCATTTTTGATTCTTTTCTTAGAAAAGTTGATGGGAGAACCAGAAAAGAAATTAGTCAGATTTGTGTCAAACAAAGAGATATGTCTTTAGCTAAGAGAACTCCTGGTGTGTTTGTTTGTTTACTTGTTTGTTTGTTTTTGTATCACCACAATCCCAAGGGGCTCTTTGAGTCTTACATCATAAACTTTCAACCACATAATGATACTGTAAAACTACCCATAATTATAATTAATCTTGTTATTGGGTTTCTCATAATTAGCTAATTAGTTAATAATTGCATTGGGTATCTCCCAACTGAACATGATCATTGAAGGCTCTTCTAAATTTTTTCTGTTTTTACTGACTTCTTAAATACTGGGAGGGAAGATATATGAGAGTTTTCCAGAAGAGAGCTGCTCCTGAGTCTAAGGCCTATAAGCGAGAGCCCTTCCTCCACAAATATGCATGGGGAGAAACCCTCAGCATCTACCCAGGATATGCAAACTGAACAGATAGGGTCTATTTGATGTCGATAATCCTGCAGGTTTGGGTAGCAGAAGCAGCTCAGGTGGAGAACATTAGACAAGGATAACAAATCAGGAAGAATGGAATGTTGGATCATTGTTCCTAGAAGCAGGAGCAGCAGGACCCCAATTCAGGCATAGGTTGTCTATTGGCTGTTACCTTTCAGTTCTCTGCTACATGAGAAAGTCAAAGGAAGTGAGGACAACTATTTTGCTCATTACTCCAGCATAATATTCATCGTTGGACATATTGAAGGACACCCTTCATATTGAAGGAAGGATATTTTTAAACAATGGACATATAAGTTAATTTTAAGCATATCTTCCTCTACAGAGAAACTGTGTTGAAAAGGTGGTTGACTTGACTTTTCCACATTTTGAGCATCCTAGATGAACAATCTTATTGCTCTAAATTGACGTGGGACAAGTTTTAATGCTCTTTATATATATTTTTCTAGACTATTACAACTATCCAGTAGATAGATCCATCTCTCCAAAGAAGTGGAAGAATATCCCCCATCTTGATTTGAGGAGCTCCTTGGCCTCTTCTGAATGGACTTTGGTCAGAGTAACCCCAGAAGAAGAAAAAGCTCATCACAAACCTCTGGCAGTTCAAGTCGTGGTAACTAGTGATGGAAGCAGGTATTGGTTAATGATGCAGATATACTTTCTTGAATGAACTGAGTCCAGAAATGATAGAACCCAGTTGTCAGAGTAAATAAAGGAGATAATATGAGAGAAGGAAGAATGATGAACCAGGAACATTCAATTCTTGCAGCTTGTACAAAGATCTTATGGGTATATGATTCACTGAGAGAAAAACTTTGCATCCCACACAGTCTGAGTCATACAGGGTGGGGTGGGGGATTAAATCCAGATTAGCTTTGAAAACAACAGTAAAAATCACAGTATGTAAGAGCTATTGAAGTTTTCAAGAAAGTAGCTTGAAAACTTCAATATATAAACTTCAGTACACCATGGTTTCCTTTGCACTGAGTTTCTTCAACTTTTGTCCTTACAGTTCCATCATTAGCAGTTCTATCTTTCTGAAAAACTGTCAATAACTTGATAGACTTTCAGTAATGATGATTAGGGATAATGATGATTAGGGGACTGAATGCTAAAACATATGAAGAACAATTGCAGGAACTAGGTATTTCTATTTTAATGAAAATAAGGAGTAGGCACTAAGGGGCGACATGATAGCAGTGTTCCGATATCTCAGGGGCTGCCACAAAGAAGAGGGAGTCAAACTATTCTCCAAAGCACCTGAGGGCAGGACAAGAAGCAATGGGTGGAAACTAATCAAGGAGTGAAGCAACTTAGAACTAAGGAGAAATTTCCTGACAATTAATTAATTAGAACAATTAATCAGTGGAACAACTTGCCTCCAGAAGTTGTGAATACTCCAACACTGGATGTTTTAAGAAGATGTTGGATATCCATTTGTCTGAAGTGGTGTAGGGTTTTCTGCCTAAGCAGGGGGTTGGACTAGAAGACCTCCAAGGTACCTTCCAGGTCTGTTATTCTATATTCTAATGTGACTTGAGAGGGTGTTGTTTTCGTTCATTTTTGCTGGCTGAGAGTTATGGCAGTTGTAATCCAACACATTTGGAAGGCACATGTCCAGAAATAGAACACCTGCCAAAAGAAAAACTGTAGCAAAGTCAACCAATGATGCTTACACATAAGTAGGGGAAAGATACCATACACGTGTGAATTGTTGATTAGTTGTTTTGTACCACTAGCTGGTCATGCTTAAAACAACCAGATCTTTCTACTCTTGGATTCTTAGCTCAGAACTAGAATCTGATGTTTCTGGAAATTCAGCCATGTTTGCATCCTCAGAAGAAATGTTGCCATCACCTAAGCCAATCTGGAATTGTCTCTCATCTTCAAAGAGATCTCCACCATTCACCACAAATTTGGAGAACAGAAATGATCGCCTTGAAAAATCCAAAGCTGCTAATGGTAAGTTTCTATAAATCTCTCTGATTTCACCAAAAGGCACTGAAACAATTCAAAACATCCCCCTTGACAATGTGTGATGAAGTTCAGAAGATGTAATGCGGTTGAATTGAGTGGTGTGGTGGCCTAGAGTTGATGACACTCACCTCCCACTCAGAAGGTTGAGAATGCAATCCTAGGTAGTGACAGATGTTTCTCTAACAAAAAGAAAATAATCTGCTGCGAACTCCGCGTTAGGAAGGGTGTCTGGCCAGCAAATGCTCAACTTATTCAGTCACCCTGACTCCATCCCAAATCAAGAGATTACAGAGTTTAAAAGTTAAAAAAGAAACAAATGCAGTTGAATTAAACAAATTCACTTGTGGATGTTTGGCTCTCTATTTTCCCAAGTACTTTTTAGCAATCATTTCTAAATTCACTTTAGCATTAGATAATTAAGCCAGAGGTAGACTCCGGGGCATGAAGATTTATGCATAATAGCATCGTAAAGTACCTCTTAACAACTGGATCCAATGTGACAGTAATGCAAACAATTGAGTTGATATATTTAGAAAATATACCATTATATAAAATAATACTGATAGAACTCTGAAAAGGAGTTCTTTCCATACATCCAACTTTTGTTGTATGTTTTTTTTTAAATAATAGAACTTTCTTAACTTGACCTACTCTCTGCAGCTACAAACTTCTCAAAATAGTTTCCTGTAATATAGAATTGCTCGGGGAGAATAAATTGATTGTTTGCTATGATCACCCCATACCCAATACAATTGTAAAGCAATAGCTTGACCAAATCTATTGCTTATATGTTTTAATAGATATCATTCCAAATATATTTTAATTCCTCCACTTTTAACCCTAATTCAGGTGGTCCTTGACTAAGGACCACAATTGAGCCCAACATTTATGCTGCTAAGTGAAGCATTTGTTAAGTGAGTTTTGCCCTGAGTGAATCACTGCAGTTGTTAAATTACCAGTAGTAACAGGGTTATTAAGTGAATCTGGCTTCCCCATTGACTTTGCTTGTCAGAAGGTCACACAAGGTGATCACATGACCCCAGGACACTGCAACCGTCATAAATGTGAGTCAGTTGTCAAGCATCCGAATGTAAATCACATGACCACGAGGATGCTGCAACAGTCATAAGTGTTAAAAATGGTCAGAAGTCACTTTTTTCAGTATGGTTGCAACTTCGAATGGTCATTAAAGGAACTGTTATTAAGTTTTTTGGGGCGGGGGGATGTAAACATTTATTTATTTGTTTGTTATTCTCTATCAAAATTATATGAAAGAGTGAGTCTAGGACCAGGCAGTGAACAATAATGCTAGTAATTAAAACGTTGTACAAAGAACACTTAAAACAATTCATAGCCCTCTATTGACCACCAAAGTCAAAGCACTTCATCTTCCTGATTCAATTTGATATGTTGGGAATAGCTCAGACTGGAAACAGCAGTTTTCCATAGTCGAATACATGACCCCAAACCTCATGCCTGAAACCCACAAGTATCATTTTGGAGTTCAAAAGAACAGGGATGAGATTCAGCAAAGGCAAAGATTTCAGGAAGTTGTAGCACAATGTTTTGTTTAATTTCTACCTGTAACTAGTTATTCACCGCAAACAAATAAGTATTCTGTTTTTAGAATGCAGGCCCTACCTTGTTGCTGTGTACAGTAAACATAATCTTTTTATAAACTTTTTTTTAATGGGGATGGGATTGAATTAACAATAAAGATTTGTTAAACAAATGCATTGAATACATTTGACCAGACTACCCACGTATATTTCATAGAACTTTGACTTCAAGTGCTGATTCCAACTGTTGTTAAGTTGAGGGCTATCTGTACAGCAGCCAATAAATCTGTACAAATTAAATTTTTCCCTTTTTACGGAAAGCTTTTGAAATGCACAGCAATGAGATGCAAAGTATCCCACTTAAGTCACTCCTTTGGAGTAACAGCCATGCATCTTCCCTCTCCCACACACTGTGTTTTACACACAGAGAGAGTCATAACCCCTCCTTACACCCCCCCAACCCGCCACTTTAGCTTCCGCGCTGCTTTTTTCCAAAGTGATCCACAGGATTCCCTGGTACATAACATACTTTCCCCTTTTGGGCCTCGCTTAATCTTAGCTTTCTATCTCCCACATTGCTCTGTTTCTCACCGTCATTGCTTGATCAGTAGGATTTTTTCCCTTGAAGTCAGTAGTGAGAATTATGTAACTTCAACCAACAAAAAACAAGTGTTTCATTTTCTCTCTCATTTTGGAGTAGGGGGAAAAACCCCACAGGCAAGAGGAACAACAGAGATATAGAAATGGCTGGGCATAAATGAGTTCTCGTGCTAGGCCATTCTACAAAAATGTAATAAATTAAGAATTAAACCACTGAGCCATGGCCTTTCTAAGGGAAAAACAGGTTGGAGAACATTGCCCTCTAGTGCCTGATATTTAAACATTTATCTGTCCATTTGAAACGAGGAGGCGTCATTGTCTTAGAAAAATTGTAATTTTGAACTCTTCCACCTGAAATGTAAACTTCTTGAGTGAACTGTTCTGTGAAGAAGACTTGACTGAATTTGTTATTGCTACCAACTGCAGCTGGATTTGCCAAATATGGATGATAAGGAGGAGTAGGATGTCAAATTTTACTCTCCGATTATGGAATAACTCCAAGACATATATCCAAGCAAAGCAAATTCAAATTTAAAATCTCAAGTGTGATTATTGTCAAGGTTTGGAACTTCCTGTGTTTTAACAAACACCTTTTGTAGCTGTTTTCTCCCTATCTTTCCCCTCTAGCATTACAACGAGCCTACAGTCTTCGTGACTCTTCTTCGTCAAAAAAATATCAGAACTGGAAAAAGAAAATTCAGTCAAGTAAGATATAACCTGACTAAATCATCTAATGCAATTACATTCTTCCATAATGATTTCATTTATGTTCAACTTTCATTTATGTCAATTTTACAACTTTTGTGCTATGGATGTTAATCCAATCACTGCAGGTATTAAGTTAGCGGGTGTCAAATTCAAGGCCTGTGGGCCATGTCTGGCCAATAGGGTGCTTAGATCTTAGATCACCTTGGAAACAGTAAAGGATCAGCCCGTGGTGCCTCTGCCAGCAGAAATGGGTTTCTGAGCTCCGTTTTCGCTGGCAGAGGGTTGAAGGAGGCCAGCACATCCGGAAACGGAGCTCGGAACCCTGTTTTTGCTGACAGAGCACTGGGGCTGCCACAGGTGCCCCTGACACGAGTGACATCAAGCTGGCCACACCCACTCTGGCCACATCCACTTCCCCCCTGAAATCAAACACAATCCTGATGCTGCCCTCAATTGAATTAAATTGACTTTGACACCCCTGTATTAAGTGAATCATATAGGTCTGTGATGGCGAACCTATGACACACGTGCCACAGGTGATATGAGGAGCCATATTTGATGAAACCCCAGCAGTCAATTCCAGCGCGCATACACATGCTGGCCAGCTGATTTTTGGTTTTCTGGAGAGCCGTGGAAGGCCGCTTTCACCCTCCCCAGGCTTCAGGAAAGCCTCTGGAGCCTGGGGAGGGCGAAAAACAGGCCCAACAGGCCATCCAGGAGCCAAGATGGTGCAGTGGTTAAATGCAGCACTGCAGGCTACTGCTAGATCAGCAGGTCAGCGGTTCAAATCTCACCGGCTCAGGGTTGACTCA